AGGACGGAGAAGAACTGTCTCACGAGTCTCTCGTGAATTGTGAAATCCAAGACGCCGACCCTGTCGAGCGCGAGACCTCTGCGCGTGAGCGCCTGCGTGAGCTTTAGCTCATTGCCGATCTCTACGTGCACGCTGTGCTCCTTTTTCTTTACTGTGATCTCCCCAGACTCTAGGGAGAGGAAGTCCTTGTCACGCCTCACTGAGGCGATCTCGGCATCCCGGCTGACGCACTGCGACGGTGGGATGTAACGGACGATGCCGTCCTGCAGCATGAGCGCGGCCTTGTCCACGAGGCTGTGCGCGGGGTCGTAGTCACCTTCGATGACGACGCCCCGGAGGCGCGCGACTTGCGCGGCTCGGCGCTCCTCGCGCTCGTGCAGGGGCAAGCTCTTGGGGGTGACGCTGTCACCCTCGACCCTCATCTTCAGATCCTGGATACTGAAGGTGAGGCTTTCGAAGGCCAGGCGCCGCGCTGCGGCCTTGGTGCCTAAGGCTGCCGCCCCGAAGACCTTCTTGATGAGTTCTTCAAACTTCGCATCGCTGATGCGGTCGGGTTGGTCGGCGACGCTGTACGCGAGCGTGCCGAAAGTGCGGATGTCTGCCGCAAGGAGCTTCGCCGACTCGGCGGCTCCTAGGAGTTGTCCAGCTCTGCTGGAGAATTCCGCGACACTGTCGACGAGGTTCGCCATCGTCCTGCAGGGCAAGAGAAGATAACAAAGAGAGAGAGACGCAAACACTGTGCAGACTGCGGGACCCTACTAGGACAGACAGGCACATGAACTCGCTCTCTTTTCACTCTGCATCGAAAGACTTGCTGCTCCAGCAAGTCTTGCAGTGCGGTCGGCCCGGTGCGAGTTCGCGAACTTCGCAACTCTTATACTTTTCATTCCAACAGCGACCGCAGAGAAGCCTCTTGGCATTCTCGCCGCGGCTCGCGTGGAGCTTGCCACTGGCAAGATGACACCACGAAAAGGCCCAGTCTGGGAGAGTGCACTGCACCTCCCTTCTGAGGCGAGGGTGCTCCTCTACCTCGGGCTCGGCGACGAACTCGTCTTCTCTGTCAGTGTCACTGGCACTGTCTTCTGTGTCGCTGAGCTCCTGTTGTTGCGAAACCTTCAGGGCTTCCACCCCCACTGGGGGTGCCGAGCCAGAGGAGGTTTTCCTGTGAGAAACCTTGCTAAGGTTCTCTCGCCTCAGGTTAAGCTGGCTGCTAGGCAGCGCGAACTGTTTCCCGAGCGGCTGGTCGGGAAGGAAGTCGCCATCTCTGATGGCAATGAGAACTTCCTCCAGAGCCCGCGCTGCGGGGATGAGCACGTTACGGCTGTACGTCTCAGTGCTCCGAGCACTGTCGTGGACATGGTGGGCGAGGAGCCTGCGCAGATCCAGGTTGACGCCAGCCTGCGAGGCCCATGTGAGGCACGTCGCTTTGAGACTGTGGCTGCTAAGGCGCTCTGCGTCTTCACAGCCGGCGTTCGACAGCGCGCTGCGCAGCCAGGAGGTTATTTCTTGAGAGTTCATCGGGCGATCTGCTAGATCACCATCCGATGTGAAGGCAGGGATCACTGACCCGAGCGGGATTTCTCGCTGGAGCTGAGGCCCAGCTTTTCTCGATTTGCGAGCCACTGACTCACCCACGACTCTTCGAAGAAAACCACCGGGGCTACCAGCGGGAGCAGTAGGCGGCTTCTAGCCCCTACGGCGGTTTTCGCTTTGTGCACGTTCGCCTGCATCCACACTGTGGCGCAGGGGTCATCTGGGAGCTCGACCGAGAAAGAGGCAACTCGGGCCGCGTCACTGGCGCGGGCGCATGCGAAGAGCATGAACAACAAGCCCCCAGACACGACACTGTCGTACACAGTCACAGAGCCAGACAGCGCGATGCGCTCAAGGGTGGCCACCTCTGAGGCCTTGAGGGCGGGGGCCCGTTTCGGCGCAGGCGCGCTGGCTTCCGTGCTCTTACAAAGGCCCACGATACGGGAGCTGGTCACCTCCGACTCGAAGGACAGACCGAAGACTCCCGAGCACCAGTTCAGACTCTGAATCAGGCTCGAGGGGCTGCTAGCCCCTTTCCCATTTCTCATCATCCACTGGATGTAGCGCCAAGTGGCACGCTCGGACACTGGGAAGGGCACCACCACCGGGTCTTGGGAGTTTGCCCACTGGACAAAATTGCTGAGAGAGTTGAGGCGGCGAACCACTGTATTGGTGGCCTTGTAGCTGAGCGCTGCCTCGATGCTGAAGTCGAGCTCGTCCAGGTCGACGCAACCGGCCTCGTCGGCACACTGTGAGACGATCTCGAAGGCCTCTGGCCAGGCAGTTTGAAAACCGCGCTGTCGCGGCGGTCGCCTTCGTACGCTGTACGACGGGAGCAGACCTTAAGTGCGAAGGCCGTGTCTTCCGCTACTAGCGGCTGGGTGCTAGCGGAAGCTTTCCGCTTGAGCATCAGGCTTGACTCGTGCAACACTGGCACGGGGCCCACGGAGGCGGGGCGAGTCACCGACAGCTCCCAGGGCCAGCTTGCATTACGCGCAAACCATGAAGCTGATTCCCACGGCTGACGAGCACCAGCTCGGCGTGGTATGGACGACCAGAGGTTACTAACCTGGTCGTTGAAGTCGCCCTCCGGGGCGCTGCCCCTGGGCAGCATCCTTGACACAAGGAAGAGGAGCACTGCTCAAGCCAACGGCTGTTGTCCAGGCGGCTTTCAGGAAAGGGCTACCAGCACACGAACTCAAGTGCACTCACTCTGGAAAGCTCTACTGAAGCGACGCGCTGCGACCCGCACCCTCCCCGGACAGTCCTGGGGGAGGAGAGGAGGAAAAGAGAGCTGGGAAGAGTGAGGCTTAAAAGGCTGCGGCAATCACAAACTGAAGACTTGAGGCCCTGCTGGTGGCACTGCACCTAAAGCTACCTCCTGAGGACCTACCAGGTCTCGGGAAACTGCGTGAAGACCTACTAGGCAAAAGAAACCTACTAGGCAAAAGAAGCTGCAGCCCTACAAGGTCTGTGTGCACACGCAACCTGCGGTGTTCTTTTTTCAACCTCGCGGTGCGAGTTTCTGGGCGGGGCCCGGTTGTCGAGGTGCGCTGCACCTGCCTTCTGCGATCCGCAGACAGGCCGGTGAGCAGCGAAGGCTCTTGTGGCCGGACTGCGCCGGCACTACTGTGCTCTGCACTTGTGTGAAACGGGCGCAGACGGAAGGGCCACTGGCCCTTCAAAAATTTTGTCCGAACACTGTTCGGGGTGCACTGGATAACGCCGCTGGCGTATCTACCATTCGCGGTGGTTCCAGCGCCGGTCGTGGTCCCAAGACCAGCGACCACGGGACCACTGGTCCCGGTCCTCGTCGTCACGGCGGGACCTCTGGTCCTTGCCTTTGCCTTTGCCCTTGCCGTCTCTGCGGCGGGCTTCCCGTTCGCGGTGCTCGCGCTCACGGGCTTCGGCTGCCTCGCGCTGCAAGGTCAGCCGAAGGGACTCGGGCGGCCCCCTAGTAGGGCGGCGCTCGCCCCTGTACTCGAGCTTGCCGTCTGTCCGCGGGACAGTGCCTGGGCAAGAGTAGTTTTTCGCGCAGCGTGTGCAATGCATCACGCCGCATTCTGGACACTGCCAGGCCTTGCTGCGACGTTCGTGGGAAAACTGTCCCACAGCGCCACTGGCGCTGGGCTGATCATAGGCATGCACTGCAGCCACGAAGGGGTGGAGCTCTCCGCATGCACTGCACACGAATTCCGACGACGGATCGCTCCAGATGTTCATCTGCATGTTGTCGCAGACTGAACATGCGAAGACTCGCTGTATCTCCCCCGCTCGGGGACGCTCCGCCGCTGGCGGGCGAGCTTCCTGATCGTCTCGATCAGTGTTGTCGTCTGTTGCCGGGCCGCTGGCCCGGGTCCCAGCGACGCCAGCGGGGTTGTTGCGCGGGGGCTGCTGGCAGGGACGCGGGCGAGAGCTCTCCCCACGACGCGCCACTGGCGGTGGGGGAGGCCGCTTGTTTTGGCGTGGGGCGGCGGCCTTCGCGGGCGCCGCTGGCGCCTGATTCCTGTCGGCTGCCGGCACTGCCGGACTGGAGGACTTGCGTGCCACCTTGCCCTCAAGGGGAGGGTGTGGCTGCGCTGGCGGTGGCGGGGAGTCGCTCTCCGACTCCGACTCTTCCGAGCGGGAGCCTTGGTCATCTTCGGTTTCTTCCCGCCGCCCGCTGGGCTCCTCCACATCCATATCCTCCGGCGCTGCCGAGGGAGCTTCCGCTGGAAGCGGTTCTTCTTTGATGCCCGAGCCCGCTTCCTCAGCGGGGCTGGTCGGGGAGCGGTGTTGCGAGGCCGGCGCTGCGGCCGTCGTAGGAGGCAAGCTTGCCACCTCGCTGCGGTGGCCGTTGGAGGAAACACCACGGGCCGCCACTGGCGGCTCGGTGTTCGCCGGCACCACTGGGGGCTCGTAGCCGAGCAGAAGTCGCTGAAGCGCGACTGCATTGGCCTCGGTGCCGCCACTGGCGGGCTTGGTCCAGCCAGCGAGTTCCGCTGCCTCTGCCGCATGCACCACCACGTCCCCTATCTCTGATAGGGAGACGGCGGCCTCGTAGATGGCGGCCCTCTGGGCCTCCGGCACTGCGCTGAGCGCCTGCAGCATCTGCTCGTTTGTCGGGTTTGCCATCGCTGATGGCAGACAGAGGCTTCCGCTGAAAGCGGGGTTGCTGTAGGCACGGGGGGGGCGACTTACTAAGCTGAAAAAGGCTGCGGAAGAGAAGCACTGCTTGAAAACCGACACGGTTTAAAAAGCTGACTCAGCTGAGGAGACCTACCAGGCTCGCGTGACACACGACTGAGAAGGACTAGCGGCGATCTTTTGCCGCCCTTCAAAGCATGCCGTCGGCCCGCCGCTGTGGGCGAGGTTCCAAAAAACCTCGGAGACGCCCGCCCTGCAGAGGCTGCCGAGCTGTCGGCGGTGAACCAAAAAGAGGTGCACTGCACCAAAAAGGGGGGGGCGACTCGCTGAGAAGCCAGCAGCTACGCGCTGCACTCAAAGCCTAACGGCGGCCGCCCCTGACGCCGCGGTTTCGGGGTCGCTGACCCCGACTGCTGCGGTAGCAGTTGTCGCATTCGTGATGATTGTGGGGGCTCCTGCCCACTGAGCAGTGCCGCCCACAAATCGCCATACCCTGGGAGATGCAGCCCTGCTGCGCGCAGGGCATGCAACACATGAGGTCGCCTCGCCTCTCCGGGTACCTCTGAGTTGGGGGCTGCCCAATAGGGCCATTCATGCACGTCTGTGACGTGCAACTGTGGAGAGACTCTCCTAGCGTGCGTAACTAACGCACGAAGGCCGGGGTACCTGTTGTCGGTCGCTGACCCGAGGTTACGCCAATCGTTATTTTGGGGGTCCTCCCCAGGCTGGAACTGCCAGCCTCGTTGGCGATTGCGACGCTGCGGTCTGGACACGACCACAGTGTTCGCGTTGGGCGCGAACGGCACTGCCGTTGCGGCCTGGCTGCTAGCCAGGGATACCTCGGAATCTCCCGAGTTCTGATCACTGTCAGTGTCGATAACTTCAATGGCAGGCTCCGCCTCTGGCGGAGCGACGTCGGCAGCTTCGGCTGCGGGCGGGCTGCCTGTTGTGGCCGAAGCGGGCTTAGCAGGAGCGGCCGCTGGCGGCGGCAAGGGAGGGTCCGAGGCTGATGCCGACGCTGTCGGCAGAGCGGTGCTGGACGAGGCGGTGGGGTCAGTGCTGCCGCTGGCAGCTTTGTGAGTCTTCTTCTTTTTCTTCTCCGAAGGGAGAATCTTGACCCAACCACCCTTGCCTTTGCCCTTACCCTCTGGGTGCCAATGGAAGCCGCTGGCTTCCACCTTAGTGGCCACGTGGCCCTCTAGGGCGTCCACCCAATTAAGTCTACACTGGAGTTTGGGGACATTATCCTCCTCCCCGCTGGGGGGCCAGTCAAAAAGGCCGGTATACGGCCAGCCAGGCGTGGCCGCTGGCCGCATAGGCACGTCGCGCTGCGACATCGTATACCGGTGCATCGGATAGGCACTGCCTGAGGTGTCCGGTTGTTCCCCTTGCATCTGCGCAAAAGGGTAAAAGGGAGGCCAAACTTTGGACTCCCCTTCCCCTGCTCGATTCAGGGATTCGTGGTCGTCGCTGACGACCGCGGGGTCTACCCGCATGGCACAGCTAATGGCCCAGAGGAGATAACTTATCTCCTGTTGTGCCATTTCTTCACGCATGGCCTGCTCAAGCACAAAAATTGGATTGCACTGCAAAAAACGGAGGCAGGAGCGACACTGTCGCACGCGTTGCAGGCATTGTGGCGCTGCCAACTGATTTTCTCGACCGTCCCTTCTAGGGTACGGCGCCTCTGGCGACTCAGCCGCGTAATTGCGGGCTGCTTGGTCTACCATAACTGCCACTGACAGTTATATAAAGGGGAGTGGAAGGACGTCGCTGACGACCCCCACTGCTGCGGAGCACTACAAGCTACTCTACAAAAACTTTTTGGATCACAGATCCAACTCCAAGCCGAAAGCTGCACGGCAAAGTTTGTCTAGTGTCACTCACACACAAGTGAAAACACTGTTTTCCTTTTTCGACAAACTTTGTCTACACTTTCGGCGGAAAATAAAACCCATTCACGCACGCATGATGGATGCATGATTTCGGGAGGGGCGGCCTGAGTTCAATGCCTCTATGCAGAGTGCCATTGTTGCACTCGTGAAGGCGGCTCGCTTCGGTGCAGGTCAAAGCTTCCAATTAAGGAACAACTGCGAGGCTGCAAAGTTGGAAGCCTTCACGGCGTTGGAAGCAAGTGGCATCGCTGAGCAAACTGTCAAGGAATCATGGACCGAATGGCGCATGACGGCTGGGCTGTGGGGCAGCGCCGACTTCGCTTTTTGCTCCAACTACGCACCTGCACTAACAAAAGCAGCAGCAGATGTGCCACTCGAAGACAAATCAGTGTTCCAGCTCTTGTGTGACATGCATGCTGACAAGTGGATATTATGTGTTCACGATCCTCAGCGAAGCCGAGCAGAGTCACAGCGTCTTCATCGCAGGCGCCTGTGGATTTGCCAGATCCACATCACACTGTCTCATACAAGCTCGGAGAAGCGAAGCACTGGTGGTTGAAAGACAGCAGTGAGACCATCGATCTTCCTCGCACTATGTCGCTTTGATGACAGGCCAGCCAGCTTTGCCGAACAAGCGAAAGAACGCAATCTCGGAGGGATTTGCTTATCTTGCAGTGGATGATGACCAGGCTCGTGTATCCATGCTGGTCGACAAGCCCGTTCGTGCCAAGGCCCAGCAAAAGGTGGCTCGCCGCCGCCGCAAGGACAATCCACCTCCTGAAGATGTGGCTGCTGTGGATGAAGAGATTGCCAGCAACGAGCCTGAGCCTCTTCTTCACAATCTTCACAGCCCACTTGACCTGGCACGCTTGATCATGGCTGTCAAAGTGGGCACGCAAGTGCGCTATGGCATATACTTCGACCACAAGGCATCGTGCAAGGCTCCTCCACGCGAGGTCATGGCAAAGTCTGCAAACGGCCGAGCCCGGGACGAGCTTGCAGGGATTCATGGCTTCAGTCTGTCCCTGCACTTGCGTAGACAACTGCAGGCCACCACCCGCGGTGCCCGGCGTGGTCGGAGAGCTGCGGGCTATGTTTGATGCGCTGCCCACATTCTCAGGGTCAACTTTCTTTGACGGTCCAGGCGGGTCCCCGCCATCATTGTCATCCGGAACGAAGCCACCATCAGCTGGAAGGTCCTGAAACAAGGTTGCTTTATCTACATGGTACAGCAACTCAATCACCCATGGACGATAAGATCGAGCCAACTCCTTCTGGCTGGTCTGCAAGACTCGCTGAACTTGGGGATGCCAATGCAATTTCACGGACTGTAATGCCAGCAGAGGATTCTTGGTCAGTTCACACAGTAGCACAAGCCGCTCAAATTCATGCGGCATGTTTTGGAAGATATCACGCAGGAGGGATTGACAGCTCATGAAAGCCACATGCAACGCAGATGCATGAGTGCACTTCCGCAAGTGCCGCTTTATCAACGCATGACGACTTTCCACCCAGCGCTCAGAGATTGGAACGAATTTGAACTTCGAAGCATGGGTCTTCAACAGAGCAAGGTTGGACAGCGGCTCACCTCTCACAAAAGCTGTCATCTCCGCACGGCCTTGCGATCCTGCACTGCACAGCAGCCTTGCGAGCTCATGCTCGCACGGTGCAGCATCCTGCAGCTGCAGTGCGCGGGCAGCACAACTACGAGCGGTTTGAGTATCGTGATGGGCTATTCCCAACAACAACCAGGGGAGCTGTTCCCAATGCGAGAACTTGAGCGTGCACACAAGCATGCTGTAACGTCGAGCATGATTGAAATCATTGATCACGGCAGTCTGGTCTGCTTCAGAACCGGATGCTAAGCTCGGAGACAGCAAGACTTCACGCTGGCTTGCTTGGAAACCCTCTCGTGCAATCTCCAGTAGCCTGCCTGCTGCACACTCTGGAGCTCGGCGTGCCTGCAATGGACAGCTGGCCATGCCAATGCGAGAGTGCAAACCTGGCAGACGGTGTTTGCTCTTGCCTTGCAAAGCCGTGTTGTGACCATGACAAGGGCACGACTCGCACCAAAACATGATGTGGTCAATGGTCTCCCCGATATGTTTGATCATATGCAGATAAGCCCAAAATCTCCTGCTCTGGATTGCTTCATCTACCACATCAAGATCAAGTTTCTTGCTGCCCCCACTTGCATCACGTCCTTCCCGTGCACCCTGTGCATTGAAAGCGAATTTTGCTCTGGACCAAGCACCTCGGAGAGACGCCTCCAGAGGCAAGAGCTCCCTGACGGCATGCTTATAGCTAAAGCTACTTTTCGCACAAATCGTATTCAAGTGAAAAGGATATTTCAATCAAAGAATCTTCAATCAATCGATCCGCCAATCAATCAATCAATATATTGTACAACGAATGTAAAGTGCATATAATCTCAGCTTTCAGAATGCACATGCAGTCGGACTCACTCTTTTTTCTTGAGACGGCACAGCCGATTCGGGAAAGCATCCGCACATTCGAGAGAAAGTCGATCGAGCATCATTCACGAGGATTGAGCTCGTTCAACAATCTCCCGGGCGGGTTGGGTGGGACAAAAATTTCGAATATCGCCCGATGGCGAACTCGAACCACAAATGACTGCCGCAATATAAAGTCATTCAAAGGTTCGACATCAAGGTTCGCATCAGGACGAAAAACATCGTGGCAAAAACCGACGAGTTAAAGTAAGGTTGTTTGCCCCTCCCGTATTTAAAAGGTTTGGGCGAAAAGCGAGTTTCAAAAGCAACCTGGCATTTGAAACATAGCTTGAGCTATAAAGCCAAATGAAACAAGTTTCAAAATAGGCAGCACAGCTCCCCATCGACCTTGATATACCGAGCCATCAAAAGACTGGTACAAGTCGACGAAGGCATTCCAAGGAGCATCAATGAAACAAGTTGCTATCAGGCGGGATCGATTCCATTTACGTCCTAGCAAACGGCACAGGTGCGTCATCCGAGACACAAAGTCTTTCCACCAAGACATGGCACGATCGAGACCTTCGGTCAAATTGTGCATGATGTGCAGTGGGCCTGCAATGTATAGGGACCGCGAAAAATCCAAGTTGAATTCCTTTAGCCGCTGCAACCTGGCCATGGAATTCGAAAAAGAACGAAACTGCAACAAGCCCCAGCAAAACCCCTTACCAAGCACAACACTCGGACAGAGACCTTCGTTTTGCTGCACTCCACACGCAGTTCCGGTCTTGAGCCAAGTCGGCACAAAGTCTTCCAGCAAACTGAGGTGCAAACTACCTAAAGGTGGCTCGGAGCTCTCTAAACACTTCCCATGGGCCAAAAGCACCCTGGTACTACCAAAACTCCTCAGAACGTCCGAAAACAGGGAAAACCTACAGGACCTACGGCTTTAAAGCGAAAAGAGTCCCTAACACTCCAAGTGCCAGGAAACTAGCCGAGAACTGTTCAGGTTTCTACAGATGAGCCGGACGCCCACCATATCCTCCCAAACAGAGGATATACGTTTACACCCCCTCTGGGCGTTCGGGTCAGTCACCCTTCTTTGTAGACTCTTGAAGCCTCGAAGGTTCCCGAGCGCAGAAAAGACAAATCCTGCGTGTCAGCGGAGTCGTATGCCGAATGCTTGGACAATCACGTTTCACGTGATAGCAAGCACCTTTGGAAGTCAAGTAAAGTACTGGCCATTCTGGCTCTGCCAGACAACGGGCGTACAGACAGCGACCAACCCCTAGGAAGACGCACCCTGTCACAAACCCTGCGGCAAAAGTCAAGACAAGCAGTCTCTCAAGAAGCAGTGCTTCATTCTGCGAGTCAACAGAAGAAAGAGAAACCATGGCATCCTTGAAAGCCTGGAGACCGTAGTGGTCCATTCCGGCGGGACTACCAAACCCTTAAAAGGAAAAATTTTGAGTGGAAATGGCTGCGAAGAGGAACTTAGTCACTCTAAGCTCTCCAAAACCCTTCTACACAGAAGTTCGGGGTAGTGCTGAGTATCTCGAAGCACAAAGCGCATAGAATGCTCGTGGGAGCCGTCACAGCGCAAAGCAGAAAGCTGAGTCGCGACCCTCTCGTGTGTAACCCTAACCCTCCAACGCTTAGAAACCAAGAGCCCATCGCACCCCTGAAGGCCAACGGAGCACGCATCCACAACCGAATCATGGATCTGGTACTTCTGTAGCTTAAAGTAGTGCTGGGTCTGCTTCCAGGTCCAATAAGCGCATTTCATTGGCCACTCGATAGCCCAATGATCAGAAAGATCACACATCTCTCGGACAGCGATCCACAGCTTCCGGTGAACAGCCCAAAGGCCGTCAAGATGCTTCTGGTAACTGTCTCCGTACCTCTTGAGGTTCATCCGCTGATACGGGCATCCTCCAGTGCATGGAGTTGAGCTCCAGAAGAAAACCCTCATGCCGCGACCCCTTGCTTTCTCCACAATGGCAACGAGATCTTCTCGAGTTTCTTTCTTCGTTCCATCATCGGCGGCGGTCACAGTCAAAAGATGAATCTTCGGAAACTCCCTAGCACAGACCCTGGAGAACCCTGACTCAAGCGGCGCGCAAAACTCCACAAACAGCCACTTCTGTCCCTTTTGAGGTCTAAACCGTTCCATCAACGAAGAAATCCCTCCCTTCGCAACACAATTCCGCAAAATTGTCATTGCCAACCCCTTTACCCCCTCTGGAAGCAAGGCGGCGCGCAGACCCACATGATGCATGTGCTTAAGCGTGGAGGCTAAATCTAAGTTCTTGGTAAAGATATCCGCAGGATTTTCAGTGCCACGCACAGAAACCACGCGGAGGGATCCGGACTGAACTTCTTGTTGGAGAAAACAAGACCTGATATCGATGTGGCGCAGCTTGCGAAGACCCTCAGCTTGGCTGATTGCAACGGCGGCCTCACTATCACAGTAAAGCAGAGGCACAACTGGGTCACACCCCAGAATATGCTCAACAGCACACCGTGCTCCTAGGGCTTCCTTAGCCCCTTCAACCAAAGCATAGAGCTCACTCTCGGCCGAAGACAAAGCAACGGACTGCTGCAGTCTCGCCCACGTCTTAATACAGGCCTTTCCAAGCATGAGGCACCCTCCCGAGATCGACCGACGATCGACGGAGCGCTCGCTGCCCCACGAGGCGTCCACATAGGCATGGAGACGGAGCTTCTCAACACTCTGGCGCGGAAAAAGCTGAAAGTAGTTGACGACAGTCTTGAGGTACCGCAAAACAGCGCGCATAGCGCGCTCATGCACCTCCAGCGGCGAGCTCTGGCCCCGAGCCAAAACAGAGACATAGTAGACTAAGTCCCCGCGAGTGGTGCTCAACCAGCTTAGCTTGCCAAGTGCACGGCGGTAGCGGGCGGCAGCTTCGGCTGAAAGAGGAACCCTTAACCCCGGCTCGTCCAGAGCCTTGTCAAGCAAATCCCTCAAGCAAGGCGGCGTTGGGACACCCTTGGCGTTCTCAAGCTTGTACTCCTCCAGAATATCGTTCATGTACCCTGGGTCCATTCCAAACTTAAGGTCCCCACCCTGCTCAGACCGAAAAACTTCCCTTCCTAGGAAATGTATCTTACCATCTTTGGCGAGGTCCGCGGTGACCTTGAGCTTCAGCTCCTTGCGTAGTTCCTCCACCATCTGGTAAAGATCAGCTGTGTCTGGCCCAGCCAAAAGCAAATCGTCAACATAACTCAAGATGTAGATTGCTTGACCCTTGTAAGACCCTACGAAGAGACAGGGCTCAGTGGGACAGGCCTTCATGTTGAAGAGCTTGTGCAAGAGCTGAGAGAGATGGCGCGTCCAGTGTAGCGCTGCCGAGCGCAGGCCATACAATGCTTTATTCAGTTTGAGAAACAATCTCTCTCCGGCGGGACCCCGACAACCCTCAGGCATGCTCACCACAACCTGCTCCCCCCTAAGGTAAGCGAAGAGGAAAGCCGTGGACACGTCGAGCCCTAGAATGTTAAAACCCTGGGCCCCAACAACCGCAAGAAACAGTTTCAGCGCCTCGGCGGATGCCGTGGGAGAGCTAATGCCTAACTGTGCTGCCGACGGTCCGGTGGAATAGTCACGGGCGACGATTCTGCAGCGGACCAGGGGCGTCTCGCGACCCTCGATCCTTTCGGTTTTAGCAGCAACCACCCAACGTGTGCTGATTACCCGCTGCTTTGCATCAACGTGCCACAACATATCCCCAACTGCCAAACTCTCCAAAGCCCTCAGCTCCTTGATCATCCCATCATAGGTCAACCCTAGGTCAAGCTCAACTTCGGTGACATCGTCCCGGGAGGCACAGGGCCTCTGGACCTTCACAAGCCCACCCCCAAGCTCGACAATGATTTCTCCGTCCTTGGTTTCTTCACCAACTGTGGAAACTGCTGAAGCAACATTGCCCAGAGCCTCCTGATGCTCAATGCGACCAGCAAAGGCATCGGCGACCCCCTCTGGGACCCTGTCCAGAGGCTCTGCCTCAACTTCCATGAGGTCCTGCATCTCTTCGTTGGTGATCTCACCTGCTGGCTGCTCTGGCAGCTCCCGGCTATCATCATCAGCAATGGAGGGCTCATACAAAGAGTCCTCGTAGTCTTCCGGAACTCCCGCAACGTCACCGGGCAACTCTACATACTCCCCAAGCCCTCCCTCAAACCCTAAATCCCCTAGGTCAGGAACCGGAGCATCAAACCCCATCTCGGCATCGATCTCCTTATCCCTTTCAAGCGAACCCTTGGGGTCAAAGGTGTCCCTGAGGTACTTGGCGTAACGAGCCCTACAGGCTGGAGTGTGCATTGCCTTGTCCATGTCGAAACCTTTGATCTTGCATGCGCGGCAGCGCGGCGTCTTCCCATGTTCCTCGACCCACGTCTTCGGAGGTCCCCGGGTATTCGTATTTGGTAGAGGCAAGGCAGCCAGGCTGTCCGGGTCAACGGGTGGTCCCTCGGCGGGCGGATCCCTCCCTGGAAGAAGGCGACAAACCCCACGAAGCAAGCCAACCTCGTACCTCAACGGCATCAGCATCCTGACCTTAGGTGATCTCACCACCCTTTTCTCACCATTGTTCAACTGAACCCTGACCCAGTGGCTCCCCGACGCGACTTCAGGACCCATGTAAGACCCTTTGCAAAGACGACCGTTCACCAAATGTGCAATGGAAGGCGGAGGCAGGCACAACACAGAGGCACCAAAGATATACGTGGGATGTGCCGGGATGCGTTTCATGCGGCACCTTTGCTCTGGTGTCAAAGAAGAACCCTCATCAAGGTGATACCTGTTGTGTGCGACGCTAAGGTGCGAAAACAAATACGGTATACCCCCGGACGCAATAGTCAACCCTACCTTCTCCATAGAACACAGCTGAACCTGGGCGAGCTCCTTCAAGGTTCTGATCGCCCTCTCCGCGTTGGGAGCGTGGCGGTCCACCGGAACCTGTTCGAGCAAAGCGTGAGGAAGCTCCCGGGCACACCGCTCAAGGAACGACACCAGAGCGGGTTCACCGTCTGATCTCATGGAGATGATCACTTCTTGCGACCCTGCCAACCCTGCACTTCTGGTCCAACGCACAAAAGAGGTCACCATCGACTCACGATCTGGCTGCCACTGGATAGTCCCTAAGACCCCGCACCCAACGGCAACAAGCACTAGCATGGCGATCCCTTTGAACCAAAACTTGTCTGCTTGCACCTCCCTCCGATCCTTGCGCTCCTGGGGCAATCTCCGTTGTGGGCACACACCCCGGCCACGCTGACACTCCTCACAGCTGGAATTGTAGGGGATGTGGGACCGCAACACATGCTCATTCTGCAAGAGAGAGAAGTCACTCGACGAAAGGTAACCCTGATCACCTGCAACGATCCAAGGAGCAACGCCACCCTCGATGCTACCATGACCCTCTGGACCCTGAGAACCCTCTGCAACTGGACCCTGAGAACCCTCTGCAACTGGACCCTGAGAACCCTCTGCAACTGGACCCTGAGAACCCTGAACCCTCGGAACCCTGCGCAAAGGAACCTGGACCCACTGCATTGACGCTCTCTTTTGAACTCTGGCCAAAGATCATTGGAAGATCACTCCTCAAAACTGCTGCCATCACAGACTCATCTACAGATCGTTCCACACCACCCCCGGTGGCAATGGGAACCCCGCCGGCGTTGTTGCCACAGGTGCTCGGACTGGCGGCGGGCCTCGAGGAAGAGGTGGCGGCGTCTGCTGCATCATGGCCGGGATCTCCATTGACCCGCTCGATGGCTCCAGAGGCGCCTGGTGCATAGCCGTCCACTCTGGAAGCGGAGGAGGAGGCGGCACCGTGCCCTGCATCCCTTCCGACCTGTAGGTGATCTCGTCCGACGGGGGAACCAAAGAGCGTGTCCGCACCTCGAAGAAGCCGGCTGCCACCGATATGCTGAGCAGAGGAAACTCTGCACTGAACTCGGCCGTGCTCTGGCGACTCTCGAGATGCCCCGCAAAAGCCCTGGCGTACCTGGTCATCCCCGCATGAGCTTCCCCGTGCTGGGCCACGGTCCTCAGCTCCGGCGTCTGCGTCTCCTGGTCCACCATCTCCGGCTTGCCCTTGTCCTTGGACCCTGACCCTGAGCCGTGCTTCTTTCCCCGATTCCCCGGGTATGGCCTCCAATGTTTCCCCACGCGCCCTTCCTGGGTCGGAGAGCCACTCGAGGCATGGCCTTGGTCGCCGGATACTTTGGCATCCTCTTCACCTTTGGTTTCACCCTTCCGACGCTGCCCTTGGCTGCTTTGGCTGCTCCCTGGCCCTCGGTCTCCTTCTCGGCACTGTCCATCTCCTGAGACCGAACAGTTTCCCCCGACGTTGAAGCATAATCCGTTGCCAGCTGCGCAAGCAGAGGCGGTACCGCATGAACGGCTTGAGGACCCGGCTTCAGGTGAACCCCCTCTGGCCCCATCACACTTGGCAACCCTGGCTCCAACAGACCCTCGACCCTGGGACGCGGCACTCGACCCTCTGAGCTCCCCTGATGCAACCCCTGACCCTTGCTCGACGGAGATCCCTGACCCTCGCGGTCCTGGCCCTCTCCCAGCATCTCTGGGCGGCGCCACGCTGGAACCTCTTCTTCCGAGCTGCTGCTCATCTTGCACCGCAGCAGACAGGAGCTGAAAACGCAGGCGGGTGCTCTCGGGCACAAAACGGCTCGCAGACAACCAGAAACAGTTCTGAAAACTTTCTACATACAGCTTGCATCCGGGCTTTCCTCGTGAACTGGGACCCAAAACCCGAACCTTGCTGAAATCTACATCCCAACCTTTCTTCAAAAGGAGGCCCAGAGACAGAAGGCTATACCGCACAGGTGCGATTAAAGCTTCAAAAGTCACCGGCACTGAACCTGTAGGAGGAGATCCGTTGCTAGAGGCCAAGACCAACCTAACCCTAACCCTAGCACGCCTTCTAATCTGAATGTCCTCCCCAGTTGCCGTGACACAGCCAACACCGCTATCACCCAATGCTTCCAAAAACTCTGCAGACCCACTGGAAAACATGCTCTCAGCGATCAGATGCACAGAGGCTCCTGAGTCGAGCAAGACATGGTCCACCTCCTCTCCATGGGCGGCGGCGCGGGCCACTGCAGAAACATGATGCACATGAGGAAGCATGCTGTTGTTGTGTTGGGTGTTCTCGGTGCTGCTTGCTACTGCTGCTACATGCTGTACAGGACCCTCGCTGGCACGCAGAAACCCTGGACCCTCATCACGCAAACCCTGGTCGCCGGAACCCTGGCCTTCCACCACAGGCTCTTCCAAAACACTGTTCTGAAAATTCTCCCAATCGCAATCGGAAAAATCAAGCGACGTCTCGGAGAAACTGTCTTCCTCCCTATCATGAATCACGTGATGCACAGCGGCACACAACTCCGGCTCCATCAAAACCGTGGCTGCCCTGTTGTTCTGATCCTTCCCTTGGTTTCCCTTACCCTGCTTCCCTGCAGCACCCTGAGCCTGAGCAACCAAAGGACAATCCCTTGCAAAGTGGCCGACCTCTTGGCACACATAACACTTCTTCTGCGTGCCGTTCCCTGGGGGCGGTGTCACCGCCGCTCCTTGGTCCTTTCCTTTGCCACCCTTTGGGGTTTCCTTCCCATTGCTCTTTTTGTCCTTGCCTTCTTTCTGGTCCTTTCCTTTTCCTTTCTTTCCTTCCTTTCCTTTGTCCTTTCCTTTTCCTTTGTCCTTTCCTTTGTCCTTTCCTTTTCCTTTCTCCTTCTCAAACTGAAGCTGATTTGCATGATCCCCCTTCCCGCCAGGCTTCTCCTGGAACATCAAGATCTTCAAATTCGCATCATAAAACTTGAGTGCGGTCTCCAACTGATCAATAGAATCAATCTTGGCATGAAGCAAGACATACTTCTTCACTTCGGTATCCAGATTCCTAAGCATCACCATGCACCTGTCCGCCTCGGTCAACCCTAAGTCCCCAAACGCTGCCGTGAGTCGCTGGTACTTGGCCAGCTCAACCTGCACACAGCGAAAGACCTCGAGGGGCCTCACAGAACCCTTGGGCACAGTGAACTTCAGGATCTCTTCCCTCAGCGAACTGGCTTCTATCCTGCTACACACACTGAGCTCCGAATGGAGTCGCCTCATAGCTTCATATCCCGCAGGTGCGCCAAGCTGCTCCTTCTCAACCTGCTTCAAAACATCGAGACCCCTTGGGTAGGCCCCAAAACTCTGACGCAGATAAAGGAAAACCCTCGTGCTCCTCACGCTTTCACCCCTCGACAAACTGCTGTTCTGGATGGTGCTGTCCTTGGTCATATAGGCTTGAATCTCCCCTGGGATACGGTCATCAAACAACGCTAGCCATGGAAGGAAAACTTCCAGGTACTCAACCCAGGTTTCAATCTCAGCCCTCCTGCCCTTTGCCATCCTAGTCCCATCCAAAGAAGGCAGCTTCGGGATGTAAGCTTCAGCCTTGGGGTTCCTTATAGGAGCACCTTCGTCAACATCCATGGAAGAACCAGAGATGTCGGACAGGCTTCCAGTCCCTTTTCCCTTGGTCTCCCTCTGGCTTTCCCTCGACACCAAACCCTCAACTAGCGTGACCATCTGGCTGATCTGCTTCTGCTGCTCCTGCACCGTATGCATCAACAGCGACTCCATGTGTGAGGGTGCCGCGCCCTGAGCGGTCGGCACTGGTGACGGTACTAACCCCGGTGGAACCGTAAAGGAGCCAGTAGGGGGAACCGGAGTTCCAGGTTGTGACCCCGCAGGCGACCCAGTTGGGTGGAACCCTGGTGGCGACCCTGCAGCGGAAAGGTGGGAGATCGGGCTGTAAGCAGGTCCAAACCCCGCTCCTCTAGGAACCGAAGAAGGTCTCGCTCGTCTCTCCGGGTATGGCATATCAGAGCCACGACTCGAACGTCTGACAACTCCAGGGGTGTCATCATCCCTAGTCATGTCATAAAACGACGGTCTTCCTCGCCCTTCCATGCTTCACCGACGCAACGAAAACCCTCAACTCAGTTGTAAAACTTGCGTATTGGGCTCACTTCTCTCAAAGCGGTCAAGCGTGCGTCCCAGAGGATCAAACACGCTCCGCTACCACGAAAAAGAACGAAACTGCAACAAGCCCCAGCAAAACCCCTTACCAAGCACAACACTCGGACAGAGACCTTCGTTTTGCTGCACTCCACACGCAGTTCCGGTCTTGAGCCAAGTCGGCACAAAGTCTTCCAGCAAACTGAGGTGCAAACTACCTAAAGGTGGCTCGGAGCTCTCTAAACACTTCCCATGGGCCAAAAGCACCCTGGTACTACCAAAACTCCTCAGAACGTCCGAAAACAGGGAAAACCTACAGGACCTACGGCTTTAAAGCGAAAAGAGTCCCTAACACTCCAAGTGCCAGGAAACTAGCCGAGAACTGTTCAGGTTTCTACAGATGAGCCGGACGCCCACCATATCCTCCCAAACAGAGGATATACGTTTACAGAATTTACTTCTGCAGCTTCTGCTGGCAAAGCAAAATCAAACTCAGATTCCTGCTCCCGCTCGTTTGCAGTTGCAGATTCGTAATCTTCAGGGAATGCTTCCTGCAATGCCCAATCTCCGAAAAGCCGACAGACGTTGCCCTTGAATCCAGGCATGCCAGATTCGACTCCGAGATCCCCTGTCCAACTGAAGGTCGCATTCATTATGCGGCATGTGTAGCGCCAATCGGCCGCAGAAAGGCGGGTGCTGTGCGCAACGGCATGGACTTTGTGCACTAGCGATGATCGTCCTGATCCCAATGCTGTGGGTGTCAGCTGATGCATGCACAGATATTGTGCAAGTTCCTTGGTGGCTGCCAGATGCTGCTGACATACATTTGTCTCAGTAGCCTCTTGGTCTGAGCATGTCTGATTGCCCAAGCGGATCAACTCATTTGCCTTCTCAAAGCAAACTCGGAGCTTGGAGAGGCCCACAGCCGTGGAGCCTGAAAGCATCCAATCCCAGGCCCCTTGAGGACTGGAATCCAAGGTGGCCCATCTGCAAAAGCCTTGCTTATCCATATACACTTCAAAGACTTCACGGTCTTGAACCCAGCGACAGAGGCCTATGTGAACAGTGAGCCTGTGACGATACAAGGTCGAAGACGAAGGCACTTTGTGGGGCTGGCACAAATCTGAATCCAAAGCTTTCACGAGTTCAGGCACTCGAACAATGGTCCGCAAAGCGGCACGCAACATTGGCAGCATGTCTGCTGAGCTGTGCACATAGCCACTGACGATCAAAGCATGCACCATGTGCTTCAAAGCAAAAGCCTTTTGTGAGGAAGCTTGTGCATCTTGAACCATCTGATCTACAGTGGACTGCAGTACACTGATGTGTGCAACAGCTTCGGCTTTCATGTCCGGAAGCGACTGTGCAGCTCTACGAATGAAGTCGGCGATATCTTGCAGAACGTTCGGCTGGAGCAAGTTGTCAGTCCGGGATTCCGCCATGCGCTCCTCGAGCAGGCCTTCCTGGTCCTGGTCAGAAGCCTTGATTGCCTGCTTAATCAAGTCTGATAAATGTGCTAACCCGAGAGCAGCACGATTCTTCCCGGAACCGGTCCTAGGCACTGGAACTCCATAACTAAGCCCTGCTCGTTGCGCTAGCAGAAATGCATGAGCTGCCGGAATAGCAAGACACACCGTTGGCTTTGACGGCAGCGCCAATCTGAAGTTGCGAGCCCATTGATTAATCACACCAGCTACGATTGTGCCCGGAGTTCCAGCAACCTTCTCCTGCAGCAGGTTCTCTGAACTGAATGATGTACACTGAAAAACCATCCTTGGCACTGCACTCTGCTTTGAATCTCGGATGCTGCACGGATGCTCTAGCCTCGCAGCAGCCACACACTCCAAAAAAAGAAGACGATCCTGTCCATACTGTGTGGCTGTCCAATATTCGAAAATGCAACGTTGGGCCGGACTGAAGCAGGTGAAAACGTTGAATGATTGAGCAGCTTTCACCAGCATGATGCCAACGACTTGGTTGTGATATGCTCGGAACTCATGGTGCAGCTCTTTCGTGCACTGCGGCTGCACAGCTGCTCAGCTGAGCGAACTGAAGTTTGGATGCCAAGGAGATTCAAAATGTCTGCTTTCAGCACCTCCTTCCTCAAGCGCAAGCTACAACGAGACTCCTGCGGAATGGTGGTTCTTCCTGGACCTATTCTGGAGTATTCAGGCTCGTTTGCTACGAGCCATACAAGGTGTGTTGGTGTCGTCATGACGACAACACACCACACACGGAAGTGGACAGCGCAGCTGCAGTCTCTAGGAACATATCGCGGCCGCCCACATGATGCTGCTGGGGCCGATGCCAGCGACCAATGCCGGATGCACGAAGTCGTTCAAATCCCTGGCACCAAGGTCGCCAAGCACCAAGGCCCAAGGCAAGGCACAATGCACAGAGACACATGCCACACACGCAGACTACCCACCAAGTGCAGTAAACGAAATGCCGTGAACAACTAGCGAGAGCCACGACAAGGTCAATGCTCTGGCCCAGGCAGTCAAAGAATTGCAGGAGGCAGGAGGTCCCAGGCGGAACCTGGCCGGTAATGTGGATCCATGGTCCATGATCTATAAGGTTCACATGTGAAGACTATTGCCCCCGCAGTGGTGGTGGCAGAAGCTGTTCTTCTTCCTGCTCCAAGTTGCTACCGTCGTTGTTGCTGTTGTTGTTGTTGTTGCTGCTGCTGCCTGTGGGAGCGCTAAGCTTCTGCCTCAGAGCCCCAGAGTTCTCAGAAGTTATCGGTAGTTGTGTTAGGAGTGCAGCGGCTCCGGGAATCAAGCTGACAGCAACGGCAAGGCGCTCCAGCAAGAGCGCGGTCACAACCAATTCGCAGGAAATCCGAAAACCCTCAAAACCGTTCAGAGGTGAAGCCGCCCCGCGCTTCCGCTCTCGGCTCCAGGCAACAAGGAGTCCAGTTGCGACGAACCAGCGAAGAGGACGGACCTGGGAGCGAAGGAGGGGCTCCCGGAGCTCCCGGGACGGGGTGAGGCTGCAGGACACTCCAGATTACCGGGAGGGGGGGGATTGCAGCGGCAAAGCACTCCTGCACGCACACACGCTCACAACACAGAACCTCCAAACCTCAAGTCCGAAAGCAAAAACCAAGGACAAACCCTCTGAGAAGCAACGCGGCAACGATGAGATCCAAGCCTGAGCGAAAGGGAGGTTCGGAGACGCAAGGCACTCTAGACTACAGGGGGACGCGCCACATCCGGCTTCGTGCCGATAAGTAAATCGAGCCAGAAAACCCGAACAAACCCCCAAGAACACTCTGAGTTGAGCGTCCAAGCGAAGCGGAGCGCCCAAGCGAAGAGGTTCGGACCTGGGCAGAGTCAGACGGGGTTCCCGGAGGAGGCGCTGCAAGGCACTCTAGTTAGGGGTGACAGGTAGGGGCAGCGGCAAAGGCACTCCTTCACTCACACTCGCGCAACACGAAACCCTTCCAACACAAAAAACCCTGGCAAGCACTCTCACGCGCCGCGAACGGTCCGACCAGGCAGAGGACTCTAGTTACGGGTAGGCGGCGCAAGGCTCACACAGACAAAACCCTCACAGAAATCCGAAAAACCCTCAAGAGCCACCGGCAAGGACCGCTGGAAGGCTGCGGATGAATTCGTCAGAGTAGGAGGCCTCGAACCCGGCCTCCAACTTCCCTGCTATCCACGGAACTGATGCTATAACCACGACACCCACCAATACTCCTACTCACGCTTGAAGGAAATACACCGAAAGGAACTATTAAATACTCTATCTCTTGAAGGAGAGTCACTTCCCCTCGAGTGGACGTGACATGCAACGCTTACTCGACAGCTGGCCGCACGAGGCAGCAACCGGCTCCACTAGGTGACCTCCGCTCTATGCGACCTAGAACCGACGACATGCACCAGCAACCGACCAATCAATTGGGAGAAGATTGAGTAAGAGCATGTGTTTTAGAACTCCAAAGATGGTGAACTATGCCTGCGAAGGGCAAAGTCAGGGGAAACTCTGATGGAGACTCGTAGCGGTACTCACGTGCAAATCGTTCGTCATACGTGGGTATAAGGGCGAAAGACTAATCGAACCATCTAGTAGCTGGTTCTCTCCGAAGTTTCCCTCAGAATAGCTAAGTTGAACAGTTTTATCAGGTAAAGCGAATGATTAAGAGGAATCGGGGACGCGTTGTCTTCGACCTATTCTCAAACTTTAAATGGGTAAGATCCACAGTGGTTACTTGATTGAATTCCTGGGATAAATGAAAACTTTAAGTGGGCCGTTTTTGGTAAGCAGAACTGGCGATGAGGGATGAACCTAACGTCGGGCTAAGATACTTAATTGCACGCTCATCAGATACCACAAAGGGTGTTGACGGCTACCAGGCCTTCATCCGCGAGGGCACCGAATGAGAGACACGAGGCTTAAGACACGTAGTCAGCGTGGGCGCGGACGTACACCCGTCCATCTCTCTGGCTGTGACGTCCCTTCAACGTACCATCTCGAGACTGGAACACATACACCTCCAAATGTACGAAGGGGTACTTGCTGGTGCAGGTGCTTCCAAACCTCCCTACATTCCGCTCTGCCCAGATAGGGACTTCTTCGCTGCCATGTTGCTTCTGAGCCAGCAGTCACCTTCATTGCGCACAAAGGTTTGACACCTGAGAACTTGCACAGTGCTAGACTTCTTGGTCCGTGTATCGAATGGAACTGATTGATCAACAAGCACAAGAGCATCGCCACAGCAAACACAGCATGAGCAAAGAGCCATCCTCACGTATGCATACACGTTGATGTTCAAAGCTGAGACATGTTAACAAGCACTACTTCAAACCAGACAAAGGACTTGCGTTCCAGAGTCCAGATGTCGCAGCCACTTGCAGCAATTTCAACCAGAGCACTATCAAGCACTTTTAGCTCTCTTTTCAAAGTTCTTTTATTTCATCTTTCCCTCATAGTACTTATTTGCTTTTAGATGAAATTTACCACCCAATTTACGCTCCAATTCCGGAAGTACGCTCGCGCCGCCGTTGGTAGTATGTCTAAAGGCCACAATCCAAGGCAGAAGCCCCAGTCTCCAACCCAAGCTGATCCCTGTTCGTTCGCCATTACTAAGGAATCCTGTTCAGTTTCTTTTCCTCCGCTTACTTATATGCTTAAATTCGGCGGGTTCACTTGTCTGACTTCATGCTAGGAAGTGTTGCAACACACAAGCTTTTGTTTCGCCAACTGAAACGACATGAGATGTTGATCAGTCACAACAGCAAGCAAAACTTGGTGCTAAGCATGTCAGTGCCAATTGCAGAAGCATGCAGCAGCACTGCTCCTGATAGCAAAGTACAGGGGAGGCCCGCTCAAGCGAAGCCAGAATTGCTGGACTTTTCCAGCCCTACATTTGGAGTCGCGAAGCTTGCGATTTCACCAACAATGCAAAGCCTCTTGAACCGTCATTTGTGGGGTTTCGAGACAGAAACTGAAGCCTTCCAAAGCCTTCCTTGTGGGTTCGGAGCTTACAATCTTACCGTAGTCTCTGCACTCTTCTGGTCTGTAGTTCCTGCAGCTTGCAGCTGTCCCTGTTATCTTGTGCTTCACGTTGGTAGATTTCTCGGCTTGCGCGTGTCATCCTTGCGCAGGGGCCATGCTAATCTTCTCTATCTCGTTTCTCCACCTTCGGAAAGCACACGGCAAACGAGAGTGCCTCAACTGCTGAAGCAGTGCGAGCTTCGCGAGAGCATGCTTTGATTCATGCATGCTTTTACTGAAGAAGTGTTGACACCGTTTGGGACATGACCTGGACTACAATGCTAAAGGCCGTTCATTTAAACTTTTAAAACCTAAACGGGGTGTGGGACCCGGCCCTAGAAAAATGGGACCCGGGTGGACCGGTGGGACCCGGTGGGACCCGGATTCGATCTGGCTTGCAAAGTATGGGACATGTGACAACCAGATGAAACTTCTTGTGTGGGAAACATGGGACCCGGTGACACCCGGATAAGACCCGGCGAGCAAAAAAACGGGATTCGGTGACGCAGAAGGTGGGACTTGGATGGGCCCGGTGGGACCCGGTTGGGACTCCTCGCAAAAAGCGGGACCTTGTGACCGCTCAGATGATGTGGCCTCAAAACCACACGTTGATGTGGCTTGAGAACCACACGTTAAGTGGCCTTGATGTGGCTTCAAAACCACACGTTTGTGGCTTATGTGGCTTCAAAGCCACACGTTTGTGGCCCGGATGTATTAAAGGGGTCACCAGAAGCCTCGGACCTGAACGAACACGTGGGCTGCCTTTCTTCTTTCTTTACTACAGAGAATTCTAAGCCGGAGCTGGCTCCAAGTCCACTTGCTGGAGCTAGAAAAAGGCTTCAACAAGCTTCGATGATCTTGCAAGCTATTAGCTATTGCTGACTCCATAGAGTCATAGATCTTGGCAATCCTAGACAGGAGCTTCGATGATCGTGTCGCAGCGATGCATCCTAATAAACGTCAAAGATCTCGATTGGCTTAAAAAGATCCTCGAGACACCTCGATGACATTGCAAACTGACACTGATCTCCAGTGGATTTAGAAGCACCAAGAAATGATGCTGCGGACGACCCGTTTCTGGGCCCACGAAACGAAATCAATTCTGGCTTCGCCACAATGGGCCTCCCCAGTTGCAAATCCGCTGGTTGTGGCATTTAAGGTGAGCGTGCAGCTGCTTTGGACAAGACTTCTGGCTTTTCAATCTTGCCTCTGCATGATGCCCAAAACTGCGGAACAAAGGCAGGCAGGCACACGCCCGAGATCCAGCTGGTTGGCCCCGAACATTTGCGATTTGCGACCCCAAAAATGGGGCCGTTTCGCGGCCCCGAAAACAGGGCTGCGACATGCGCCAGGCCTCATTAAACAGAGTTTGAGCATGAGTTGGAGGCTTGGAACCCCGACCCCAAAAATTCGGCCGCCAAACGGCCCCATTTTGGGGGAGTCGCGAATTCTTCTACTTTGAGGCACGTCGCCTGACTGCTTCACAACAGGCGACTGTGGCACACAGGCGCGCGTCCAGCTTGAAGAAAAAAACAAGCTTTCAGGATTAAGGCTTCCAAGCCGAGCCTTGCTTTCTTATACAAATATGTTTAAATCAAACGGGCACAGCGGAGGCCCGCTCAAGCAAAGCCAGAATCAATACAAGAGTTCGAACTCTGGGTTCGAAAACTCCAAGTTCGAACTCTGGGTTCGGAAATGTTCAAACCTGGGTTTCAACTCCGAACTGCTGGACTTTTCCAGCCCTACATTTGGAGTGCAAAGCCTCTTGAACCGTCATTTGTGTTTCGAGACAGAAACCGAAGCCTTCCAAAGCCTTCCTTGTGGGTTCGGAGCTACAATCTGACCGTAGTCTCTGCACTCCGGACGCTGGCCACAGCCTTTCGGTTGTTGTCTTTGACAAAGCCGGCGGCCACCATAGAGCTCATCACCAACTATCCTTGCTTTTCACAACATGCTGACAGCACATCTCTGTTTCGAGGACCAGCGGTGCCAAGAGGCCAAAAAACATCCTTCCGATAGCTTCGCAGCTGTTCATCAACGTTAAGTAGAAAGTACCATAGAGTGGGCCTGATATTGGGTACGAGAAGAAAGTGACACTCGAGGCTCAAGGAAAGGAAGTCAGAAGATTAGTTGGCCCCTGTGCAAGGATGACACGCGCAAGCCGAGAAATCTACCAACGTGAAGCACAAGACAACAGGGACAGCTCCATCTGGTCGGTCCAGAAGAGTGAAGAAGTTCAGCGTTGAAACTCGTATTGTCCTGTACTAATACTGCAGTACACATCACAAAACGAACATTTGTCCAATTATAACTTCTAGAATGCCTTCTTTGCAACGGCAGTTCCACTTGACATGGTTAGATGATGCTCCTTGACTGTATCGGGTTCTTGGGTGAGCTTTGTCTTGGTCAAAGCCGAGGAGTGAACCTGCAGGAAGTGTCTTGTTCCAATGTCGGTCCGATTCGGAAGTCTTGCTTGCAACCCAATCTACTCTCGAAGCCGAGGCAGGCATGTGATGTGTTGAATGCAGGCCAAAGAGTCACAACTCCAGTAGTTGATTCTGGTCCCTTCCGTCCAGACGACGCAAGATATGTCAGTGGCAGGCTGCATTGATGTATCGGTGCAGTGCTCTTCAGTTCAAGGTGATTGCAGGAGTGCCAGCGTTTTGAATGTCATGCATTCCATGATACAGTCATGCTTCTGAGGAGCAAGGGTCTAATGATCTTTGCAAGAGGTCCAGAGTACATGTCCAGTTACCGGATTGTCACATGCATCAGCAGATGCCAGTCAGCTGAGACCCTCATGTGTGTTCTGGTTTGACAGCAATGCCTGAAGTGTCAGTGAAAATCAGTTTTTGAACAAGGATTGTCAAACATGTGCACCTAGGTCGCTGCATGGCAACACAGATGATGGATTTCCTCTGCCAGTTGTCACTTCTCTTCAACACATGAACTTTTCCTCTCGAGGAGTATGGCCTGTTAGTGCGATTTTGTGCGTGCTGTGGGCTTGGACTGCCTTTTCGGGAAGCCTCTCGACAGCTTGCTGTGTCAGCTGGAGAGAGGAGATGTCAGAGCGGGCTCAGGCTAAAGCGGAAAAGGGCAGTCCATCCCAAAGTTTGGCTCCGAGTAACAAGGACGCCCCGGAGTCCGAAGCTGCCAGCTTCGTCTTTGCCGAGGGTGCTGCACGTGATCTTCGCAATGCTTTGTTCAGTCATCGTGCGGAGGCGGACGAAAAATGTGGCGGTGATGCAACTGCAGCTTCCGGCGGCGGCTCCGGCTCCAGCAAAGATCAGCCAGGTGGCACTGGCTCTCCGGCTTTGGAGAAAGACTCAGGCTTGACAGAGAAAGATGCGGAGTTGTGCAGAGCTTGCGAGGAGCCGAAGACCAAAGGAAGCGCGTTTTGCCAACGCCACAAGAGAGGATTCCAGGTGATATACAACAGATGCTGCAAAAAAGACAAGCACGGCAACTATGTGGATCCGACCAACGCAGCACGGTTCCATAAGATCTTCGGAGAGGGGCGGGGCGGGCCAATCAAGTTGTGCTGGATTATGTGAGGGAGAACCCGGAATTGAAGGACGGGGGCAAAAGGCGAGGAACCGTCAACCTCGCCCGGTACACGGACCAACTGTACGCGAAGCAGTCCACATCCCGCATGGAGGACGAGTGTCTGTGGGATGAAGAGCTCTTCGTGAACAAGTTCAAGATCTTGCGTGGCTGGTCGCAGCAGCATGCCCGGATGAAGTTCAAAGAGTTCGAGGCCGACCCGAACGTGTACAAGGACAAGCACGGCATGGGTGGAAGCGTCCGGGTTTCCGTGCCACCATCTTGGACCGGTGAGGACCGGCAGCGCAAGAATCGGGAAATCGGGCAGCAGAAGATCTTAGAGCGCAGTACCAAGAATACCAAGCCTTCAGATGCTGACTGTGAGAAGGTAGAGGAGGAAATGGCAAGTGGAGGTTTCAAGATGATGGATGTGTCATCTTTTCAGCGTCTGCCTTCCTCTTGGGCAGCTCCACTGCCTTCATCTTCGGTCACCAATTTGCAGGGTAGCAGCGAGTTAACCAACGCCGTGAATCTCGTGGCAGCTGCAGCTCAGAAGCAGACAGAGGGTGGTGAGGCCTCCCCGCAGAAGCAGCTGCCAGCAAAAGGCAGCGAGCCAACCGGCAGCGACAAGGACATGAAGGAGGAATCGCCAGCCAAGAAGGAAGACTTAGACCTCAAGCGGCTGAAGCAGAGTAGATCTTCTGATGCCAATGTGCGAGAGCATCAGAAGAAGCTTCAAGAAGCCTTGCGCAAAGGCTGGCAAGCATATCAGCTGAGCGATACAGAAGATGACGATCTTCGAAAGTTGCTCACCGAACGTGCACAGATCATCATGCATTGCATTGGCATGGAACCCCAGGCTGGTTCCAGTGCCGATCTTCCTGCTGCGACAGCCGATCAGGCTGCCAATGGTGGCACTGGTGGAGCCGGAGCAGAGGGAGCCGCCCCTGTGGTCGTGTTGAAGCCGATCGAGTACGACGTGCAGGACCGCTGACCGATGCCATGCAGCCCTGATGTGCAAAATTTGAGGCTTTATAGGCATTAGGTTGTGTGCAATCATTCGAGAACAAAGACCTGCATGGGAGGCTATTCTCCGTGTCATGTTGTCATCGCCGCGGGCCGTGTGTGTGTGTGTGTGAAGTGTGAACGGTGGACAGTGAAGATGAAGACAGCATCGGTGTTGGCAGCTTTAATGAAGCTTCACGTATCGGTGTCCGGGCCAGTCTTGACTTGGTCGGGGCGAATAACTCAGGGGAGCCTGGGACACAGTGACAGTGACAGCGTGCTGGAGGCGAGTGATTGGAACTGGAAGGCGAGCTCCGTTGTTTTTCTTTCGATAAAAACAGGTTGAACAGACACGTATTTCAGATGTTCGATCCGAGCCCGAGTGTCTTGGTGTGTTCTCAGTTGGAAAATTAGACATGTCCGAGTGTCTTGAATTTGGGAAGTGGTGTCGGATTTCATTGTTTCATCTGCGAGGCTGGCTGCGCATGACCGACATGTCTGCGTGTACTACAGTGTACTATGGTCTTAACAGTCTTTCCTGAGCAAAGCTGTTTTGGAGACTCTTTGGAAAGTGGAAAGGTTGTTGTCTCGGCTGTCGCAGTCATGGACTCGGCGACTCGGCGATCGGTGATCCTCTGATGTTGTTGATGGTGGCGGGCGTGCGTTGGCTGATGGGTGGGAAACAAGAGAAGGATGAGTAGGTTGTTTAGCAAGATAAGATTCCAGACCAGATCCAAGTGAAGGTGACTCGGCGACCCAGGGGCAGAATCAAAGGAATATTGATTGTTTGTTGATTTCACATTGACTGTCTGGGAGGAGCTTTGGAAACGTCCAAATTTCACCCGTGCGACTGTGGACATCGGTGTCGATGAAGCCACGGCGGCAGGATTGTGGAATGCTATCGTGCTCAGCAGCAAGAAAGATGCCACAGAAGATGACTTGAAATCGGAGTCTGCGGAATACAGCCTGCGGAAATCTTCAAGATTGGCCGATGCAAGTTTGACGTTTCAGGAGAAGGCAGCCGGTGCCTGGAAAGAGATGCTAAGTAAGTCGGCCGAGGATGCTGATGGTGCTCGGAGCTGGTTGGAGGAGTGCCCTTTGGGGAGCAAGCATACTCAAAAGGAATGCTTGGCAAATGCAATCGCTGCTGTGGCCAAGCGACTGCTCATCGAGCGGACGCATCTGCAAGTTGTGCAAGTGTGTCTGGAGTCCTCGGCAGCGATGAAGAGTGCGGAGACAGAGAAATCCCTCGACGTGTTGCTGGACAGTGTCAAGGAGCAATGCACCCTCATGAGCCAGCTTGCGACCTCCACAAAAACTGTTACCAACGAGCTCATGCAATTGCTGAAGAAGCGGAAAGCTGCGCAGCAGAAGGCAGAGGATAAGAAGAAGACGGAGGCAATGAAAGCCGAGGAGCAACAGGGCGAGATGGAAAAGCTTCGTCTTCAAAAGAAGAAGAAGATGAACCCCTTCTTTCTCGACTTTAAGACTTTGGTGGCAGAGGCCCAGGCTACAGTCTTCACGGACCCCGCCAAAATTTCGGATGACAATTACAGCAGACCCTTCATCCTCGCCGGGTCGAAGCTCATCTCTGTGCTGATGTCTGCGTCTGATGAAAGCAGCCTTATGCTCCCGACTATGGGGCGTTGGAAAACTTCTTTCCCAGCGGCCAAGCAATTCCAGAGCCATGGTGCAGTCATTGCACCAGTGATGAAATCGAGATCCGAAGATCCTGCTCTGCTGCAGCTGATTTCCAAGCTGCTGCCGGACAGCATCAACAACGAGTTTCCTCGCTTTGCTGCTGCAGTGGGCACTTGGTTCTTCTATGGATTCTATGGAGAGAGTGACATGTTCATCTGCACAGATTTCGAGAGTGAGCTAATCGGTGGATTGAGGGTCCAGCTTGGCGGTGAGACCCAGTTCTATGGAATGCCGGTGACAGCCATTGTGGACGTGTGCAATGCAACCAAGATGAAGGCTGCTGACATCAAGGGCTTCCTTGCAGAGATGACTCCGGATCGTTTGGCTACCATTGCGGAGAGGGCGCTCCCCTTCGTGCATGGAAGCCTTCAGCCCAACTCGGCATTGGTGGTGCCGCCAGGGTGGGTCATGAGCTATGCGACGGTTGGTGATGGAGAAAGCTCTTATGTGTATGGGTTGCGCAAAGGGTTCTTGTTGCGCAAAGGCTTGGAAGAGAGCAAAAAGCAGTTCCAGATGTTGCTGGCGAAAGAGATCGGTGGAACTGCAAATACATCCTGGTTGCAGTTCTTGCAGACGCTTGCCGATGTTGAGCTCAAGGGCAAGCCTGACTCCGGTGAAAAGCGGATTGCCCCACCAGCTGATCCCACTCCTCCTGAGAGTGAGCCTGCCAACAAGAAGCCACGGGTACTGGAGTAGGTCATCTCTTCGCGATATGATATGATCATATGATCTGAGGCCGAGGGCCTTGCGGGCCTTGCTGAGTGCATCATGTGCAGTGCAGTGCAGCAAGTTTTGGCCCTGCTGTCAAACGAAAGCTTTTGCTCCAGCTGCTCATGGCGTCTGGAGCCGACCTTGAGCCTAGAGCTGCAGCTCTGTGCAAATCCTGGTGCAAAAACGAGGTGTCGTGCAAGGTCTTTGCTCCAGAGTCCAGATTGCTGCACCAGCATTGGTTCTGTCCGCCTAGTGCGAATTCCGCAGCATGCAGCCGTGCAGAGTTCAAATTCTTCGGCCATGCAAGCATCATAGAAGCCTGCACGTACACAGTAGACAGATTCGTGAATCAGAGGCTGGCGGAGTTGTCGCAATGTAGCTCTATTGCCTTGACTGCTTCGACGTGACACTCTTGCGATCTAGTTCGGTATCCATTTTGAGTTATTTGAGCTTGCCATGCGTGGACTCTTTCTACATGCATTTTTTTTGATGGGCGGATTTCGCTGTGTTGCACATGGAAGCTCACTCAGAGATATGCATGCCGGTAGACATACATTCCGGAATCCACGTTCTTCTTAAGCGAACGATCTCTTATGGATCATGCAAACGAGCTCGCGCAAACCTTTCTGAAAGGAAATCTTTAAATTATTTTGCAGTTGTCGCGCGCTACGCGTGTCAAGTTTCCACATGTCTTTCATGTGCTTCAAGGAGAACAACAGTGTGGCATGAACGTTTCTCGAGGAGCGCAGGGATTCTGAGCATGGAGCGGGGGCCGCGCCAAAATATGTTGAGGCCGGACGGCCATTTGTTTTAGTTTTTGGACGGAAATGATGATTTTCTCTCGGAGCAGCACAACACTTTCATTGTCCATTGCAAAGGGAAGTCTTTTCAGCGTTGTGGGCGAACGTATTGCAGTGCATGTCTCGATCACGGGTCGCATGTCTTGTTTTGGTTCGTTTTGCAGGTGCAATAGTGTTGCGAGCATCACATACATTGAAAACATGTGATTCCATGTCCGTTTTGGCACAAAAGTCTTATCACGATATTGCCGGCATACATGACTGGTGATTTCAGGAAGCAAATATCCGATCGGGATCCAAAACGGCTTGATATATTTCGGATCCAGTTGTCATGTCACTTCGAAGTTCATTTTGACCCAAGAAAGGCTTTTTCTGGACTGCAGCATGCCAAATGTCGCTGTTAATTTTCGACTCATCGTTCAGGCTACCTGGGGGACCCCGTGTCTGTCATATGCGGGCTTTTGTAGTTAAGAAACTAGGCGAAAGCTGTTCTGCTTTAAAGAGTTGAGCCGGACGCCCACCGTATCCTCCATAAGACAATAACTGTTTACACCTTCTAAGCCTCCCTTGAAGCTTCTTCAAAGCCGCTTTGATGGCTCAGGCCTTTTCATGCCCTCGAAGTTTCAAAAGGGTCCGTTCAAAGACCCTCTTTGCCTTAGCTGAAACTCTTGAAATCAACTGGAAGTTCAAAACTAAGTTCGAACCCGGGGTTCGAGGCTTCGAACTCAAAGAACTCTGGATTTCGGAACTCTAAGTTCCAAACCTTGGGTCTTCCCAAAAACCCATGTGGGGTTCAACCCAGCCCCGAAATATCTCGTAACAGTTTTTTCGGACCCCATTGGATTCTTTTTTCGCGCCACCAAGATCGTAATCTCGAAAAAAACATCTCAGGGTCTGGAAAAAGACCAGCCGAAATTCAAGTTGCGTGTGTAAATTTGATCTTCATTGTGGTGCGTGAAAGGATGCAAAGTTGCCGACCTTGCACGTGCACTGCAAATTAAACTTTGCAGTTGCAAACTTTGTTTTGTTTATTTTTCCAAGGCATGGGAGAACAAAAAATGATTGTACTTATGAAAGCCGTGTCGTCATCACGATGAGCAGTAGCTAGCAACTGAGTGGTCTAATGCAGTAGTAGCAGTAGTAATAGTACTGGCAGTCGTAGTGGTAGTAGTCTTTGTCGTAGGAGAACTACAGTAGTCGTGCTAGTAGTCCTGCTCGTGGTAGTTAGTCATCGTGGTCGTTGTAGTGGCAGTTGTCCCAATGTTCGTCGTAGTAATAGTTGTTCCAGTAGTCGTCGTCGTTGTCTTAGTCGTCGTCGTGACTTCAGTTAGTTTCAGTAGTGGTAGTTGTTGTAGTAGTAGTAGTAGTAGTAGTAGTAGTAGCAGTAGTAGTAGTGGTAGTAGTGGTAGTAGTGGTAGTAGTCTTAGTAGTGGTAGAGCAGTAGTAGTAGTAGTAGTAGTAGTAGTAGTAGTAGTAGTCGTAGTAGTAGTAGTAGTAGAAGAAGTAACTAAGTACGAGTAGTACCAGTAGTAGTAGTCGTACTAGTAGTACTACTAGTAGTGCTAGTAGTAGTAGTAGTAGTAGTAGTAGTAGTAGTAGTAGTAGTAGTAGTAGTAGTAGTAGTAGTAGCGCTAGTAGTAGTAGTAGTAGTAGTAGTAGTAGTAGTAGCAGTAGTAGTAGTAGTAGTAGTAGTAGTAGTAGTAGTAGTAAGAGTCCGTTTCTTTGCATGACCACTTGTCGTTCTTCAGCTCGTCTTCAGCATTCCGTCCGTGGCTTGCTGGACAAGAAATTGCCATCTTTCTGCAGCAATCTGTGTGTCTCGAGCCTTTCTCGTGTCCGTCTTCTCGCCACCATGTCTCGTCCTCATCCGCGTGCGGCTTGTGTGTGCGGAGCGTGCTACCGCACAGGCCTCCTGCACGGGCTACTGTTGAGAAAGTCTTCGCCAAGTTGTCCGCGGCAGACGTGCACGTGGGCAGTCAAGCCGACGACATGTAGTGTGCATGCGGACTTACTTTTCGCCCACACAGGCAATGCCTCTTGCAGAACGTCAAAAACTTCAGAAACTCCTTCGCGTCTCGGCTGCTTTCTTAACTCTTGCCTTTGCCACCATGCTTCGTCCAAGGTCCCTTGTTCCGCGTTGACTCCATGGAAGACAAGGTGCCGAGCGGGGTGCTTCCCTCCTAGCACTTCGCCGAGCGCACGTCCTTCCTGCTGAGGCTTGCGCAGTGCGCAAGTGCAAGAACAAGAAAGACGTATGCGGAGTCCGCGCGCCCCATCTCCTGGCCGTTGCAGGTCTGCTGTTTCCGTTCGCTTGCTCTGCGCTCGTGTGCCCTGTCGGCAGGAAAGTTGGGCAAGACGAAGAGGCTTCGCACGCCTTCGCTTGTTGTTGTGTTGTTGTTCCTCTCCTAGATGTTAGGCATGGTGCCAAATTGGACAAGGGAGATCTTATTTGTGGCGCTTGTCGCTGCGCGCTCTCCTGAGCCGTCCGTCTCTCAGTTTCTTGTTCTTCTCTTGCGAGGTATTCGTTTCTCCTTGTCTTAGGCTACCGCTGAACGCGCCGCGCCTGCACCGGCGCCCAGCAGCGACAATATAATTCTTTACTTTTCACGATATTCATTGATTTTCAATCTAATTCATTTAAGATATATATTTAAGGATATATTATGAAGCTAATTTTTCATAATTATTGATCGGATTTAAAATAAGAATTTTTGAAATCTTCATTTTTTCGAATCATCTATTTATAAATTTCCTAAGATCCTATATCCGAAAATCATCCCATACAATCTTACGAATTATCTGTTTCATATACTTATATGTAATTAGCAATATGTATATAATTAAATTGAAATATTTTTTCGAGACTATAATTTATAAATTAATTTCTTCGCAAAAAAAAAAAATATCATTTATCCGCTCCATATTTTATATCATCTCCCCTGGTATAGAAAATATTATAATTGTTATTTTTAAGATTCGATATAGCATTTATGATAATATAAATTTGAATATATATCGGTATGAAGATCTACTTTTCTCGAATAAATAGATTTTTCAGATGATTTATATCGATTCTATTTATTCTTTTTTTTTGCGTATTATATATTATTAATGTTCAATTTTGATATTAAAAAAATAAATATATAAATATATATTAATATATATATATATATCATATAGATATCTAGGGACGCCAATAAATCTAAATATGCGGACGAATTTTCAAATATAGATGAACTATATATTTTACGAACTATAAAATCTTTTATTGAAATTTTTGAATATTGGGATCTTTCTTATAATGAAAAATAATATTCTTGCTATTATTACGCATATAGATAAAAAATTCGAATATTATGAAAGGAGAGAGAGAGAGAGAGAGCATCGCACAATAGTGGACTTACGGCTAGCGAATTAGCAGAGTCCCACTTTTTAGGCCGAACTGGCCGACCTCGGCCGAAGTTCCAGACGGCGACTGTTGAGCCCCCTAGGAAGCCGTAGGCGTATACCAGCTAGCTGCCGTACTGATGACTCGGATTAATTCACATCAGGGCTGTGAACCAATACTCATATATACTATGTTGTGTGGGGGAATCTGCAATATGGTAGCCTACCAGTGCTGTTGCTTGCCATACACGGTGCCGCCGGAGCTTCAGTTGTACAGTTTTGTGAAATGCCCGCCGTCAATCACCCACAGTCGCAAGTTGTAGGGTACAGTGGTAGGCACAGTCGCTGCTGCAGTGACGTGCAATAGTGGAGAAGTGGCTGCTCGCCAATACGGCGAGTGATGTGCGGGGCTAAGCTCGAGACAGAATTCTGATTTCCGGCGTGAGGGGGGCCCCCCCTTAGCCTACGAGGCGGGTTGGGGGTCATAGGCTAGCGGTTCTGGGGGGCAAGCCGGTGAATCAGATCGAAAACAGTCTCGGCCTTTCACTCCTTCCTGTACTCCCTCCAGTGGGCGGAAACGCGCGAGGGGGGCACGGACTTCTTCGTGCTTCCCTCTGCCTGTGCTGAAGAAGAGAGCATCCTTCCTTCAAAATAAATTTAATCTTCTAATAAAAATACTTATATTTTGTATTTAGTGACGTGACCTCTCCCTCTTCCACTTATTCTTATAATATTCTTCATTCTTCATATCTGGATCGTTTGAACTTTCCTGATTTCTTCAATCAAGCTTCTACCTTA